AGGAAGCCTTGTCTGTCGAATCTGCTTGCCTTCCTCGATGAAGTCACACGACGTTTAGACGAGGGACAGCATGTCCAGGTCTGTTATCTGGACTTTAGCAAAGCCTTTGACTCTGTAAGTCATCAGAGGGTCGACCAAAAATGCAATTCTTAGAAATTGGAAGGAAAGTTAGAAAGTGGGCCTACTGCTTTATAAGTAACCGCACCTTCAATGTCAAGGTTGTTATACACTTATCAGTGCCGGCAAACGTGACTAGCGGTGTCCCTCAGGGGTTTTGCTTGTCCCAGTGTTATTCTTGATGTTCGTCAATGATCTGCCACGAGAAATCAACAATCTGTGCTTCATGTTCGCGGAAGACTTCACCATGGTTGGAGCGAATGTATATCAGGACCTGCAGGTGGTCATATGGTGGACCAAAAAGTGTGATCTTCCTCTCAACTTAGCCAAACGTCCGGTTCTAAAAGCAGAATTTGAACTTGACATTCAAAATATAATCCAGCTCAAGAGAGAGAGAGAAGTTGAGGACTTTGGAGGTATTATACCATATGACTTCAGATCCTCACAGCAATGCCAAAAGGCAACCAACATAGCTCGAAGAGAACTCGTTCGTCTACACCCGACGATTACGTGAAGGACCCTAGGTTCTCGTCCCTCTGTACATGACCATGGTTAGGCCATACTTGGAATATTGTGTTCAAGCCAGTGCACACTACTTTCGGAAAGACATCAATTGTCTAGAAAGAGTGCAACACCTGGCTACAGAAATGATGGTGGGACAGAGAGGTAAGAGCTACGAACAGAGTCTCAAGGACCTCAATCTGTTCTCGCTGGCAAGAAGGAGAATCATAGAAGTTTTTAAGATCATAAATGGTCCCCCGGACTCAAGTCTGATGATGTGTTCCTATTTATTCCTTCAAGTGGCACTAGAGAACATAGTTTAAGGCTGCAACGTTGTCTGTAAGGCTGGACATTGGAGCCAAGTTCTTTACAAGTTGCGTAATACCTTACTGGAATGGTCTGCCCAAGGATGTGGTAAGTTGTTCGAACGTCATAGTCTTTAAGAGGGCCTTAGATGACTGTTGGGCTTCTACATTCCCTGAAACAGTTTAGAGGACGTGATAACGTACCTCACATTATACCTTTCAGACAAAACCCTTTGACACGCGGTGTTGGAGGCCATAAGATAAGCGTACATGTCTATCTGGACGCACGATTGGCCCGGGCCACACATCATCCGTTGCAAACTGAACTGAATTGAACTGAACTGAACTGAACTTGCAGAGGGCAGGTTGCCACCGGGGAGAGGGACTGTGCTGAGGTCCTCGAACCCGCGCAATACTTCAAGACTTCATCGTAATCCTCTTTCTAAACATTGGGTCCGGAAGTGATTTAATTGGATTAGAAGTGATTAATAAAGCGTGACATTCACTAATTAAAAGATTGTTTTATATTATGTTCAGTTTACTTGATACCCGGTGGTTTAAATCGACTCGAGCTAATTTGATTTGTTACACTGAATCAATAAGTTGAACGCTCGTACCCTTAAAAAGCGCGGTTAAGTCGGATTGGTGGTCAGCATTTCCACGGATTGATATCGTTGCCCTGACTTGTAAACAGTAAGTGTTGAATGGGAAGATAGTGCGGTGGCATGATAAAACCGATACGTTTCGTTTCAACGGGTTTTGTGAGCAATCGTTTTTTGACGATATTTTGTACCGAGTTAACATAGGACATTCCAATAATTATAGTCAGATAACAACAATAGTAATTACCCTGGCAGCGCGAGAGAAATATGTATCTTCTAAGAAGAAGAAATATATTTTACAATATTGAACTCACTTTCGAGTGGATTGACAGGTGATCACTCAGTTACGTTTGGTCACTATGAAATAAGCGAATAGTCACTAATATTGGTAATCGGAATTGCGATTACGAACAGTTCTTCTGAAGCAATTCTGAAATAATGCAAGCAATTCTTTCTTTATGAAGATGTGCATACAGAACTGTTGTTTTAAAATAAACTGAAGTGGTTATAAAGTTTCTACTAAATGAATAACTTATCGCTGCCTTCGCGAACCAAGCAATATAGGATTCGTTTGTTGCAGTATATTTTTTTATCTTCCCAGTATCTATTAATTGACAGTAATGTCCTCAGGCTTATCAGAGGGATCCCTCAACCACTAATTTTCCTGTCAAGTGATCAATTTTTAAACTGTCTGAGTTCCACTGAATTGAGCTTTCTGTGTTGTCTCGCTAATGGCTTGGAATAAAAGTAATTGAATACTTCTCTCTTTTTTAACCAGTTCTCGGTCCGTTTCAACGGTTATATTGATAGCTACGAGGATTTAATAGTATATTTATACCACCATGTGTAAACCAACATTTCCAATCTCATGGAATTTATTGGGGTAGCTTTTCACCCCGTGGATGAGATTTTTGCAAAACCTATTCTTTCTTTTTGGGATTTTTAACTCGGCTTCTTTTGTTTTTAGGCCTAAGGTATGCTGCATACAAAAGGAGTAGGAGCGTGGACACAGCCATAACTTCTTTAGACCCAGTAATCTCTGTTCAACAATCTTGACCAAATCCAGGGTTCATTTTACTTTTGCTGGCTTCCGTCGGGAAAGTTTACCTATATTTTTATACTAATTGGTTTAGTTTAAGTTACTTGAAGGATTTGGGTGCTTTTACCCTTACGATGAATTCGACTACCGGTATGCATCTCGATCATTGCTACTTCCAGTAAACCACACGAAGGATTAAGCGATTGATATTAATTATGAGAATAAATAGAGTACTAAGCTGGTAGGATAAACTTCTAAATCATTTGCATGCTACTTAACTGTTAACTATCTCACTCAGAAGCCGTCCTTGCCGTAATCAAGAAGTATTGTTGTTATTGGTCCCTGGCTGGGGACCTTGGGATGATCGTAACCGTTGGCTAGAGACACTAAGTGATATGGCTGGGTGTTGCAACCAGTGACGTTCGTGCATCTTCTCAACCTCTTTGCAACCTTAGATCACTGAACTTCTCCATTTTCTTTTCGACTCCCCTTTCAAGTTTTCTGTCTTCTATTCTTCATCCAAATGGGCGGCCAAAAGACAGCAACCAAAACCGGCGCACGAATATGCGTGGTTAATGGTTGCTTAAACTTAACTGAACTGTATATGTTCAGCTGCAATCTGAATGCACTTGTTGAGCACGTGTTTTAGGCCATGTTTCAAGTAACGCATAATACCGAACGGATGAAACTCCCAACCAATCCTTCTAGAGTGGTTCACTTCACCTAGAAAGAAATTAAATGTTTACTTAGCAACTCGAGTTGTCTTCGACTTAATCCCCTGATCATTTCATCATCTTTTTTGGTCCTAACAATCAGAAGCATTAGTGAAAAGGCTGATTATAACAACCATGATAACTCCTCATAATTGCACATATTTCAATTACATGTTTCTTTTCCACCCACCAACGATTCGGCTCTCTTACTTCTCCGATCTGTTTTTAGATAACTCTCATGACGCAGTTCTAAAATAAGCATGTTCATACACAGTTGACCACTGATGGTGTCAACTAACGGTGCCGCACATAACTTGGTCACTCATTTGTCAAAATGGTATTGCCAATAGCAGTATCTTCGTTGCGTTTCATTATCAGTTGTTTTGTGCTTGACCGCAACGCTAATAATTTGGTTACCTAATTAGATAGCAATGTTACTCAGGGACGAGTGATCGTAGCATCCTCTTGCATGTTCTCAGCCAACATCCGGGGCTATAAACAGGAAGTTCACCTAGGAGAGTTGGCTAAATAAGTGATTCCAAACCAACCAATAAAGGGCATCCAAACGACGCACACCTTCCTGGTTGTAGTAGTTGGCGCCGGCTCGATTGGATATCAAGGTGTACTGATCACCTTGGACGTTTGAACCCGTTCAAAAGGCGTATGATTTGATGAACTGGACACCGGCCCCTAATGGACTGAGGCTTCCGCCCAAAGTTTTGCTACCTTGCGGGTCAAGGTTTAGCTGGCCGAAAGCTCAAATTGTGAATTCCCTCGGGAAATCCACCAGCATTGGCCTGGGCAACGTAGCAGTATTGTGCCCTCGAGCAAATCATGGAACTTTTTCTTTTTTATAAAAGTTTTCATACCATGGTGTGTTTAACAAACAATCTGGATTCAGACGCGTCTGAAATACAAACATGTCCTCATTACAACGTCCTACGCACAACCCAAGCTTTAGCATACAAAAGGCCTTTATTGAACAAATCCGGTGATATTAGAACTTCATGTGATTAAGGTTATAACAAGAAAATCCTGCTGTTGGTAATTTTTTCTTCCATTACTTTTACTGCGAGGTAAAGCCGAATGGCAAACCAGTAATGAGATGGCATTTGCTTGTCTACAATGTAAAAATATATCTGAGAAACCCATGAAAGAGGTTTTGGCTGGTTTGAATAGTAGTTTAAAGGAGCACTATAGTTCACCTGAATGAATTTTTCACTATTTTTTCCTCACTGTTTGCTGATGTGGTGCAGAGGTTTGCTGTTTATAAGATTTTAAAGGGGAACTATTTTTTGTATTCATCTGTTACAAACCAACTCTAGTTTTTGATAATTGATTCCAATGCATATGCACATTTATATTCGTGTTTGATTTCAAAGCAAGTACATTTTCAGGTAGCTGGTGAAAACTATGGTAATCTAATAACCTCATTATTCAGCATGTTTAGTTTTTTAAGATCACTTACATGCCATTAAAAGGCAAAATGTTTTTTGAGACATCATTTTGTATGCTTTATTATTATCAATTCTAACTTTATTAACTCTCCGTTTAAATCTAACTACTTAATGAAGAACAGTCTTACATGGTTTTTATTTGCTAAATATTCATTGTTAATACTCAAGAACACAGTCACGAATCTCTTCGGTTGAGAGTTTTTGGAGTCACTTTTTAAACCTCGTCTTTCAGGAGCATCGTGTGGGACTTCATTTAACGTAGCAGATATTTGATTTTAATATTTTCCCTATTCCTATTATTCTTTTTAGTGTCGGAAGCTTTTGTCACTCTAGCAACAACAGATGAATACATATGCGGTGCTCTAGTCTGGGCACATTCACTTCGAGAGGTGAAAACCGAGAAGAAGATTGTGTGTATGGTAACCAAGGAAGTCTCTGCTCATATGCTGTAAGTTATCATTTGTATTAGTCGAAGAAATATCCTCTCCATATGCAGTGAGCTCTGCCGTTCCATATTCGACCATGTGGAAATTGTTGATGTACTCGATAGCAAAGACAGAGCCAACTTGGCTCTGTTGGAACGGCCGGACCTGGGAGTGACTTTTACGAAACTTCACTGTTGGAGACTCACACAATACCGGAAAGCCGTATTTATGGATGCAGATACTCTGGTTAGTGATAGATCTTCGTAATGATAGCAGTACTATCTCAGAGTCGTAATCAGTAGTCATTTTTGCAGACGATAGATTTTTCCATTGATCTTGACCAATCTGTAATGTATTAAAAGCCCATATATTTATCTTTGAACTGTGCATTATTCTGTTGCAGCAGTGTAATTTTCGTTCTAAACAGCTTTCCATAAGATGATACGTCTATTTGGTCTTTTATATTAGGTATAAACCAGTTACAGTATAGCCTAAACATCAGATATATAATGTCGTTTTCATCGCTAAAGCGCTTGATACTGCTGTAGAAATGCAGTAAAATAGGCTTTTACTGCAATAGTCGTTGTTTTTAATCGTTTTCCTGCACCATTGTTTGTTTTCGAATTGATTTTTCATTAACTAAAAATTGCAAACTATGTTGAGCTTGTGTTCGTTTATAAGGTCTTGCTACTTATTTACATTACCCCTCCCCCGAGAAATCTAACAGGTATAAGTGATAGGCGCAGAATGAAATGTAATACTCTTGCCTTTTGGATTTAGCCGAGCTCATCTGAGTAGGGTTTTGGGTTAGGGTTCATTGTATTCGGTCGCTATGGTTTCTAAAATGAAAATGAATTGAATAAGGTGCGATTAAATTCGATAGACTAAAGAATTTTGCACTGAATTAATTTACATTCTGTTATTTTGACGTTCGACTGTTCAAATTCAACAAGTTTTTCATGTCTAATTTTGTCTGTAAACATTTTATGTGGAATAAAACAGTTTTGTTGCTTGCATATAGTTGGATCATCAGTGACTTTCCTTATAACTGGTAAGTTTCTAGTAGCAAAAGGTGTGGTTAATAATTTCAGAGTTACAACAGGAAACAACCAAGTTTACATAGAGATGAGAATGAGGTTAGATCGACTGATGACCATGAAAACTCTAGTTCCATGTAGTACACTGAAATGTAGCGTTTCTCCTGCCCCTGTTCAAAGAGACCTACTTTTTTCACCGCTGCACTGCGCACAGGTTCTTCAAAACATTGACGACTTGTTCGAACGAGATGAACTCAGCGCCGCTCCGGATCCTGGTTGGCCAGATTGCTTTAATTCTGGCGTGTTTGTATTCGTGCCTAATCAGGAAACCTACGAAAGACTTCTTCAATTCGCAATGGAAATCGGTAGTTTTGATGGTGGTGATCAGGTGCGTTATGATTTGTGTTAAAGTGGTCCTTTTGCATGATAGTTTTGTTCGTGAGAGCTTTAATGATACAGTTTCATTTAATGGGAATGATAAAGGAGATAGCCAAATAATGTGCCACGGTTTGCAAAGAGTAGTTCAACTGGGAGCATCACATTTGCTTCAAATTAGCTGCTGATTGAATGTGCAGGATCTTTTGAGTAAAAATAAATGCAACCGTCCCGCATATTTGCAAAAACATTGACACTGCTTTCAGTTTTGGTGAGCAGAATGTCTGATTGTAAGCGCTTTGCTTTCAGGGTGTCATGCATGCACTTATCGCATATAGATATAATATCATAGTAATACACTGATAATATACATATATATGTATATGCGTGTATTGGGTGAGAGAGCCCAAAAGAACGCATCTGTCCACAAAATTTTCCAAACTTCATTCCTCGCACCAGTGAAATCCTCAGGTAAACAGTTTATTCTGAAGCAATCCCATATGGTGGACTATTACTATTACGTTGTTTCGTTATAGGTTTCATTGTTCAACTTAGTGCTGTGTTTGTAGTTACTTTACCTCACTATTATTTCACTAGGAGACAGATGATAATCCTAGCAAATGTTAGGTTTAGAATTGCTTGGATAGGTTCGCCAACAGTATCTCGTCTCTAGAGTTTCTGTCAACTTTTAACGATAATTCAAAATTTGCGGTTGATAATTCTTCTATTGATTCATCACTGAGATAGATCTTAGCACTTTGACTTAGAATCGATGCAAACATCCCTGTTTCCATTATGTCGCTTAGAATGTTGAGGAAAACCACCTTCCCTTTGCGAAGACGCGTCTATTTGAAATCACTACTTATATTTGTGAGACAAATGCATTATGTTTTACATTTACTCCTCAACGTAGGAGTTTTCTGCGGTGATCCAGTGATTAGGATCAGCATTACAGTAACCCGGAGACCATGAACACCAAGTGTACCTTCGTTGTTTGTCTGTTCCGTTTGTGTATTTTCCCTGGTAGCCTTGGTCGGTTGCACCTGCCTTCCTAATAGCTAGTTTATATATAATGCGTGAGTAGAAAGAAACTGAAACCAATTCACTTGGACATTCGTGCCATGCTTTAAGTTTAGGCGCTCTTTAAGGTTACAAATCCTAGGAATAAGAGGGAAAAACTATTTGGGCAGTCTACTGTAAGCCACTGTTTCTTGGACCATTCTATACAACCCTCTAAACGGAATCCCCTATACAAAAAATTGAATAAAGACAGTTTTTTCCTCTCGTTAGTTTGAAGGTATTATGGTGTCAATTTCAGAGCAAGCCGCGAGTGGTCTCTTCATCATGATGATGAACGCGTTCAATGCCCTTATCATTCAGGAGGCTACATTTTGATGCTCTTTCTTGAAAACAGCTGGACTAGTATTAGTGCGAAAAATTCAGTGGCAGTGGAGGTATTTTACGTTTTAACTGTTTCACCTTCTCTACACATTGTTCTGTATTCCAATCCACCTGCTTCCCATTATTGTTATCATTATTATTATTGTTGTGGCGTTGATACCATGCTTGTCTACAAGCCGGTGTTATATATATATATATATATATATATATATATGAATTGGTCGAATGATAATTTTTTTTCTTGGTTATTTTTGCTGCTCGTGGTACCCTGCAAATGAAATAATCGAGCTATTTACTTCATCAAAAAAGGTGTTTGGTCACTAAGCCGCAAGACGTTCCCATTTCTAGGGTCTCTGAACTAGAAAAATCACTAGTAAAATATATTTTAAGGCAATTGTTCACACCAACTTCCCCATCACTCTCCTAATATTATGGTTTTCCAGGGTTTACTGAACTTGTTCTTCCACGATTGGGCCACGAAAGATATCCGGCGTCATTTGCCCTTCTTGTATAACGTAATCAGCCAGGCGCTTTACTCCTACCTGCCGGCGTTCACCCGATTCCGAAATAGGATTCGTGTGGTACACTTTATTGGAGCTGAAAAGCCTTGGCAAATGGATGTGGACCAGTATGGAAATATAAAAGCACACGAGGATCTAACGTTGGGCACTCGTGAATTTCTGCAGTATTGGTGGCATTTGTTCTGCACCCGAGTCCAACCCAAACTCGTTCGAACTGCGGTAAGGAGAGGTTTTTTATCACATTTGTAATTTGTATGCGTATGTACATGTGTAAGTCTTCCCTTCCACCATTCATATCACGTATAGTTTCTGTTGAAAGTTTTCTGATTATCTGTGCTTCGAGGTACATAAGTAATTTGGTACTGAAAAACAAATTATTCAGTCAATAAGTAAAATTTTCTTAGCAAAATCGGATTGAATGATCTTATTTACAAAAAGCCAGCACATCTATTATGCCCGAGAAATCTTCCATCCGACAAATCCGGTGATCAACAAGATCTTTTTATTGGTACCCATCTTCATTGCTAGAACAGTGTTTTCCACCTCCAAAATGAACTGCACATTGGTTGGAGTTAGATTGCACTCAAAATACAAGTTTTATGCACGGAAGAAGCCGCATTTATCCTGAGAATTTTGAAAGCCTTTATGATACAGTCAAATTAACATTAAAATAATTACAATTATTTTAAAATGTTTCGTCTGTTATCCTTTTCTAGTATGTTTTGATTTACCTGGTTGAAAGTAAAAATTAACTGGTAAGCCCTCATTGGTCTGCTTCATGTTTATGAAGCGTAAGCGCCTTTTGGTTGGTGTGACTCATTATCGCTTTCAGGTTTATATGCGTAACTAAACTTCAGTTCAAAAGGCTGATTACTCACATTTCAGATTTCCTTCAAGCTTCAGTGCGTATTTTCATGGGTAACGCATCATAACTGGAAAATTTTTATCGATGACGTTTTCCGGTAGATGCGAAATTTTAAAAAAATGTTGAACCATGCTCGATAATGAGGAATGAACACTTTATGCGTATTCAGTCATGATCATTTGCCGATCCGGGTGATTTGTTGGCTAATATTTTCTCGCCGATCAATGTGATATCTGAGATCGTCTGGGCCCGATTCATCTGATACAATGGTTGCTCTGAAACCGAGACAAATATTGATGTTCCTATAAGCAAAATATTCTCACCCACAACTCTGCTGCTATTTGTTTTGGTCACTTCACCCTGAGTGAAACTATAATGTTTTGCTCGTCAAAGCTTAACTGAGCATCAAATGTTCGCAACTGGTCGTTTATGTTATGGTTTGTACACTTTCTCATTCCGGTTTTTCCAATGCACAGTTTTGGTAGAAAACAAATATCATGCGTTTCGGTAATTGTGTAGTAATTAATGAACAGCAAGATACAATCAAGCACCATTCCAGCGCTTTGCAGCGTATAGACAATGTGAGTGAGTAGAACGCGAGTCTAAAAACATTGCACGGAATATTTACAAACCAAAACGAAGTTGGGCTTCTGTTCAAAGTCATCTTAAGATCACAGAATAACTGACACCAAAAACAATGCTTGGGAAAATTATATGTTCCTAATAATGACATTTGGTCTGGGTGGTAGTCATGGACCTCAACAAAGCAGTTTTATTTGAACTGACTGAGTCTTATGATTCTGGATTCTTTTAATTTCAAAGTAGATTGATAGAAGTCAGTAAAACAGGAAACATCTTTACGTCTTCGTTGGTTACGGCTTAGCAATATCGATACCATTGCTTTCCATCATCCCATGTTCTTGTTTATTGGACCGTCATTTCAAACGTATTGGAACTTACTCAAACAATCTGCCCTACTAACCCCTTAGTTCCGTCTTCAGTGACATCAGTTTAAAGAAGTGAATAGAGTTTAAGATTGCACGAACATTACCCTTGCAGTAATTTAGTGCCAAATGCGGTCAGTACTTCTTTTATTCGACTTCTCGGTAATAACCTAGCTAGAATCCAACGGTCCAACGTAGTCTATCTCGCGGTGGTACACGATAGTCAATAGTTACATGTAGTCAGCGTCTCAGTTTGTACACTGAATAACCAGGAAGTCCATTCATCCTACTTGATGCTGGTAGTGAATAGTGAATTGTTATTTCAAAAGATAAGGTACAATTCAGTGAAATACATTACGTCTAATTTGTTCAGAGCGGATGAAGCGAATCACTGTTAAAAATGTTTTACCCAATATGGCTACACACACAAACAGCACACTCATATTGATTGATTTGTGTCGTGTCCATGGTGTGTGATCGATCACATACTTGACTGTCAAGTGATGAACAAACACGAGAGTGAACAAATAGGAATGATCAGCAAAATGATTCGTTCACTGAACACATTTGAATGCGGACGGGACTGATGATCTTACGTGTTTGGCTATTCCCTTGGTTGATTGATACACAACTGCTTTTGGATATTATATTTATAAACTAATGAATCAAATAGATAGCTGTCGAGGAGTTGACAACTGACGAGTTTCTTCGGTTGGATAACAACATGCTGCTTGGCGTTTGTTTACTGTAAGTCATATTTGCTTAGGAACGATAGTTCACTCTAATTGAGTCGAAAAGCCGCGTTATCAAAGTAAGCTTACCTAATGGTGTCCTTTTACTACTGAGGACTTATCGAAAAAAACTATGTACCTACGTTTTCTTTTCCCGGAATTGAATTCTTCACATGCATTGTTTGTGGAAGAAGAAACGATTATCCGCTTCCTCGGAAAATCTATATTTGTTGACATCAATGTCATCATCTGAGGTTTAAGATATTTATTCAGAATATACCACTGGAACTCAGTTCGGTTTTCCATCTATTTTGGGCATGTCAAAAACTTACTATCTCACTACCCTTGAACTTGTTCTGCCTGTTTTCCGGAGCGTAAAAGTGAGGACATGAACCTTTGGAGGCTTAGTGCGAACGGAATACCCTACGGCCAAATACATGACCATCTATGACAAGCAGTGTGTTGCAGACCGTTTCTCTTCAAACAGTACTATCCGATCGATGCCGAAGTCGTTTACTTTCGTTTGACTACGCAAATCGTTGTTTAACATAATGCTAAATCCGTGGTGTTGTATGTTTACAGTACTCATTGCAACGTGGGGTATAGCAATTAAAAGACAAATCCTTAAGGTGCTATTCCATTTGGCGTAGCTAGATCACACGGTGATTACACCAATTCCCATTAGTTTGCAAAAGTGGTGGGTATTAAGACAATCATAATCTAAATCAGTGGCGACCCATTGTTCTCTAATTTATGTTTGTGCACTATATCAACTAGGAAAACATTGCAAAGTCTGATTCTATTTATTTTCATGTTAATGACGTCATGAAAACGCTGTCCTAATTATTTCCTTCAATGCACGGCGTGTTTATTAAACAGTCCTTGATAGAAGGCGAATTCAAGGAACGCTTTACACCTTGTCAGGGTCATACAACTGACTTAAATGATGAAAGATCCTGGGGGGGAACTCAAATTCGGATCACAGTTATTTTCTTGGTTATGAGCCGTACGATTAAATACTACCTAAGCCGCCTCCAGATCTCCGGCCCCTGGGACACCCAAATCGGATATGAGTGGGTAATGACAGTGCTTCAGGATGCCGTAGGTTCTCTTTCGTGGCCGACAAAAGCGTGTTGACTGTTTTATTACTCCTTTTTTGGTTACCCGTTACCGCATTAAGCCAATGATCATTAATCATTAAAAACATGATATTTCCGGAAGGATTTCAAGAAGGATTACCGCGACCATCGCCTGTTTCATTCTACACGGATTATTTAACCGCTATCTAGACGGATTATAAACGGGTTCTGAAAAATGCTCTCATTTTAGCTTTGATGAGTGAACAATAAGTACGGGTGAACTGCTACAGAAAGGAGCAAAAAAGAAATACTGATCCCTGGAATTATCTATGTTTTTAAATTAGCCATTGTTCCTCTCACTGATTGTTTGCTTTTGCTTTGCTAAACCCATTGTATATGACAAGACCACTGTCAGCGCAATTAAATGCCATCAGACACGTCCCCAGGTCATGGACCAGCGAGAGACCACTTGGAGTTTTAATCGGGAATAGGTGGACATCGCTTCACAGATCGAGGCTCAGGAAGATATCTAAGAAATTGGCTGGTTTTCGCATAGTGAACCATTTCATGTGACAAAAGGTGACGTGTTTGCTTAGTGTGCATCGTGAAGTATACGAATCATGCCCTCTCCCAGATTTAAATCTTTAATATCAGCATGGAACTTAATTGTGCAGTCACCAGAGTTACGTATCCCGTGCTGGTATGACAACTTTGGCCGCATCCCTAAATTTCGTCGTAACTTTATCTATGGATTCGATTTAAACCCCTGTGATAGTAGTTCCCCTAAATAACTTTTAGTTAAATGCAGATACTTTAGCAAGTTTGATTTGCGCGTTTTTACCGACAAGTCATTGAACAATGTTACCTCTGATTAATTGTCCAGAGCTTGGGGCTTGTGAAAATGTGCTGCTTGCAAAAAATAAAGTAGCCTAAAATATTTCCAGTTGGTGTGTGACACTTTGGTTCAGCATGATGAATAAACTCCCCAACTTTGTTTTCCACAATAAAACAAATACATGGAAGAAATATGATACTCGATTTTAAGGGGCAATGAAACACTGTAACTTTTATTGTCGTTAATTTTTCTTACCTGCATCTGGGATTCTGACCAAAGGCTGTGAAACCAAATTGTTTACCATTATCTTACCGTTTGCGCTGTGCTGTGCTAAGAATAACACGTCTCTGGACGGCTTTGTTTGTTCCACCTATCAAGGTTTACATTTTGTTCATCTAATATGTTGGATGATTTCGTTTTTTGTCTGATTCAAGCTAAGCACTTTACAGTTCACATAAAAACCAACATCTTATAGTTTGGTCACATCCATCATATCCCTGACTCATGTGAACCGTAATAACAAACGACCATGAATGCTGTAGATTCATGTTTTTTGCGCTTTCTCATAATCATAACATTTTGAAAATACATCCGTTGCAGTCTGAATCATTCGAGGTAAGAATTGTACAACTAGTGAGTATATTTCTTTGTGTACATTCTATTCGCCCTATTCCTCGCGACCATTCCCGAAGGTGGTTTATTCCAGTGCTGGTCCGTCTATTTGCACGCGTAGTTTTCAGTTAGCATTTAATACCTCATCTTATTGGTTCAAAATTTCCACATCTATTTGAGGGTAGGCGCATTATCGCATCTTTATTCATCGGTTTATTCTTTTTGTATACTTGTTGTTTTGACGCCCTTTGTTGTTGTTGCCGTGGTTTTTGTTGTCCTTTGTGCCCAAGATAGTTTCGCGAATCTGCCAATGTGATTGTGCCGTCTAGTCCTGCGTACTGCTGTACGCGCATATGCCCACAAGCATGTTCGTATCCACTGTTTAATATCATTGCAATAGCTTCAATGAAGTACCTGAATTAACCTGTCTTAATTCGTGTAACTATTTGTGTTCTTTTTTCCGCTACCTTTCTCATTTTTAAATGAATTATTCAGGGTGGATTGGTGGGCAAATTGGCTTCACTGGAAATCACTGTTCCCTGTCCTCCTACTTTAAATATGCCGGATGAAGGGGATCGTCAGATGGCATGGGAACGTGGTCAGATGGATTATATGGGGTCTGATTCATTCGAGCGTATCCAGTGTTTGTTGGAGTCCAAAATTGGAGGACCTCCCAAATCGTAGGTTGAACACGACAAACATGTCCACTTGACTTTTCACCGTCCTCTTCAGTGTACCACTCATCCCCTTTTCATGTTTCCTGCTGTTGTTTTGGTGAGGACTGATCAGTTTGCTTTATAAGCCGCGCGCCTACTAACCTACAACTACTCCTACTTCTGTTTGTCTGCAAAATACGTTTTTCGCTCGAAAACTTTCAGTGGCCTTATATTTTTGCTTCGAGATTCTACAGTATTTTGGATCTCACTCTCACACCCCTCATGCTTCATGACTCAATGATTCCTTCCCCCTTTCAATGGTGATTATTTTCTGATCAGGTGCACTGTGTGCGCATGTCTACGTTCTAACCGTTCTTCGCCCGCCCCTGCACCCAATCACTTACTGAACTCTCCTTTTTGAGTTCTCCCCGTGTTTCATCTCATGTTGTCATACATTGCCACAGTTTACCCCTCCAACTCCTATCTAATCCGTTGAAGATAAACACCCTCACAAGACCTCAGACTATTTTCACTTTCCTTTTTGATATGCTAATTAGAAGTTGGAATTCCCTATGATCATCGCATTCTGCGGACGCACCTAAGTGATTGTCTCGCTGTAGGCACATAAAATCAACTTCCTTATCCCACATCCTCTTCATCGTCTTCATTTGTTCTCTGTGGATCCTAGCTCCCTCCTTAGACATCATTCGACCACCAATTTCACTCCATACTTTATCTGCAACTCACTCATTTGCACACTCCTTTAATTTACACNTTCCATACAACGTCTTTCTTCCTAAGAACAGAAGTTCTATCCCGTTCCGAATCATGACAATTTCATTTTGGAATTTAAACTAAATAATGCATCTCTAACCCATGACCCGCTTGACTAACAATCTAACATTATTTGACCCACAAGAATAAAATGCTCATCCTTCTTTGTTCTTCAACAGTCAAAATTTCGATACAATTCACAAAAGGAGTTCACTCTTGGTCTCGGTCTAAAACCTGTGGTGCGATTACCTTTATGCAATGTAAATGGCTATCGATTTCATTGGATGATTTCAGTTTAGAGTGCATCCGCCTCCCCCTCCTGATTCCCCTAGTTCACTCATTCGCATCTCATCTAGTCATATTTCACACTTGCTTTCTAAGCAAGAAACTCGCGTCTAGTTTTGAAAACAAGCGGTAATATGGTGAAAAGATCAGACCATTCTGGTACCTTAGAGTGTCGGATATCGCGACTAGCATGTTGGAAACCTATCTAATGCCCATTCCGATGGTTTGCTTTCCATTTAGTGCCAGCTTCCTTGCTGTTACCTAAGTTATTAAGTGGTCACGTCATTCTCTTCTCAAGGAATGGAGCTCAGTCTCTCTTTCTGATGCACGTATTTTGAATCGTCGCACACTTTGCTTGTCATGGCGATACAATTTGTCCGGTCCTGTTAACTCGGTCGAGTTTTGTTTGTATTGCATTCGGTTTGAGACTTAATTTACGGTTTGGTTCAACTCAGTTCCTTCATGTGGCTGCACTCAAACACTTATGCTCACCACCGACTATTATATCACTCCGCGACCGCGCTTATCTCCATTATTCTCTTCATGTTCTTGTGGATCTGCTTACTACTTTTGGTTCTTTTGTTTTTCCGCGTTTTCTATCTCGGTCAAACGAAAGAGTAATAAGACTTTGAAAATTGGCTTTTGTTTTGATTCATTGGTTGTAGTATACGGGTTAGTATTTTACTTTGATATGCTGTGCGGTGGGACGTAGACTGCTCAGTTAAGTTGTTATAGGTCTGTAAGGAATGCGGTTTGTGGCGTTTGAATACCTGTAAGCGTCACTTATATCATTACGGCTTTCCACTGGTACCACCCAACATTTATGAAAATCATGAAGCTCACATCTATTTCTAGTACGATTAGTACTCACAAAAATGAATACTGCATAACGCTTGAAAAGGACAGGACAGATATCTAAACTTCAAGTCGAACGCTAGCTGGAACATGTATGTACACGTCTGTACTTATATTAGGAGCTGAAAATTGAAAGGTTTATTCGTGCTTTGATTTAAAGTATTTACTAAACAAGACTTTATAGAAAACAGAGCTCTAATAATAAAAATGGACTGATTGGTTCACACAATAGTGCTAGTTCAAATACCAGGTTGGGCCTTTTCGGGTTTACCGGCAAACGAATTTTCGAAATGCACAACCTTCAATTGTAGGGCTCATTTGATGTTAGGGGTAACTTGAAACGATTGCTTTAAATGAGCCCGTTTGAGTATCGATTAACAAACACCTTATATCTGATGATCTTGTCGGCAATTGATCGCTGTCAGCTTAAAACCTGCTAAACAGTCGGTTCCATTCCACCAAACAAGTTGCCAATTTTGTTTTAATGAAATTACTTTTCAATCATCCGGTTACTTTTATTGTGCTCTACTTGCGCCAGAGACTTGAGACAGGTCTTTGGCATCATCCTTTCTACTTAATGGCCGAAATCTCGAATGGATACCGTGCTGCGCGATCTAGGGGCCCACCGCTCACAAAGGCGCAAACTAAAAATTACAGAAATGTGTTGAACACTGGCCAGAAATTGAGTTTCACGTCTACACAGCCCGATTACCCAGTAGTCGAAGATGGTGAATTAGATTCAAGCCACCAGAGTTGGAGGAAATAATCTATAGGGTTGGTGAGCTGAGAAGTAGTAAAACCCCATCGGAAGACCGTATTCTGTCGGAGAGGTTTGAATCCTGCTTTCCATTTTTTTCTCAACCTACTAATATCTATTTCATGGGATCTGGGAAACGAAAAACCTCCCCAAAGATTGGTCTACCTATGTTCTTCAGCCAGTAAACAAAGCATTCTAAGACTATGCAGGAACTACCGAGGCACCAGTCTGATCGAGATAGTTACATCTCTGCTCATAGTGATGCTGCTTCACTTCACATCAGCAAGAGACGCAAGCATCTGCGGCTTCCGCAGATAATTTGATGTTTAGATACTTACGCTCCGTTGAACTCTGAAATACCACCTCGGCCAACGACGGTTCGCTTCGTTGAATCCGCTGTTGCGTTTGATTCCATCCGTCAAAATTCGCTGTGGTACAAAAAGAAAGCCAATGACATACTCGAGAAGCTCATGGGGCTTACAAAGAGCTACTCGGACACCCGAATCCGAGTCGGCAACTACGAAGCGGAATATTCGGAGTTCCTGTTGAATTTGGTCATCCACTGTCTCCGGTGGACGATGATCCACTTCCCTGCTGATAATTCGGGAGTTTAACTTGTATAGGATAACTGGATCACGTGCCCTGAGTTCGCGGATGACATTATTGGTCTTGGAGACACTTCGAATGGCCTATGGTCTACCGTGTCCCCGTTTTGCCAAATGTTACTTGGCTTGAAAGTTAATATATTCGAAGTCAAAGCCTTCCCGACCGCGGCTATTCCGGCACAAAACTTCAGTCACTATCAATAATCAACAGATGGAATTCCTTTAAACTCCCAAATGCCTGGGGTCCACCATTCAACCAAGCAACCAAACCACGGGCACATTTCAGCGGCACTTGGGCTCTCCTACCACTTCGCCGAACACAACCAACGAGCTTAGCCCCCACACTAAAATGTGTCTATTGGGCTGCCATTGGGTTGTCTTGGCCTTAACTATAGCTATGAGACGTGGTGGGCTAGAGCCTAAACACCATAGGTTTTCGATCACTGTTGTCCTGAAGGCAAGTTGGCACTACTGATTATACAACGAGGAAGTCTGCCGACATTGCTGCTCAGTAGAAAAGATTTTTACTCTGTTACAATACTGTCGACTCCGGTGATTTGACCATATTCTCTTGCGTCCTACTACTACGCAGCTATCGATAAGGGGTCTCTTCCAAACACCTTGATAGTGCTGTCATCTCGGTGGTGAGATGAAGACCTCAATTATCACGGTCCAATCGGCTATGGGGCATATGGATCTGAAAGCCTCCGAAGCCGGAATAATAACTAGCTATCATTCTGCTCCGACTTTGCCGTGGAACTCTGTGTATGGGCAGCTATCGTCACAGATACCAGCGATACCGACTCATCCTTGCAAAGGAAACGGTCTCCTGCACAAAGGTGCATGGTTCGTGGTTGTAAAAACGGCTGAGGTGAGATGAGGTAGGGAAAGGATAAATTCCCACAGATAGAAATGCTTGTTCAAACCGGCCAACTTAATCAAAGGTAATTTTCTGCTAGCATTGGGCTCCTCAAGCAGTCCTCGAACCGATAAAATATTGCATATTTTCAGTACTGAGGACAGTGTCGTTAGTGAAAGTTGGTGTATTTGGGATAGGGATTCCCATGTTAATTTGCATAACTCACAGGTCCGAGGAATGTGCATGTGCGCTGCTTTACCGATCGAGCTTTTGCACAAAGAGTCAAACCAATCAAAAATAGAAGAAAAACGACAGAACATGTTAGGTTAAGTGGACGATTTTTCATTATTGAGTCTTATTAGACTGGGTCAAGGGATTTAGAAAATGTTTTTAATTTATTTTCAATATAAAAAGAAGAAGAGGGTGGAGGATGAATTCATGTCAGTAAACAGATTATTTATGAAATACAATCTACGAATGACAATACTAAAGGATAAATCCACGGTGTTCGCGAAATTCTTCGGAAGATCCGGGGAAATCTTTTGTTGGTGAACTTTTATTACTTTTAGTTGGTAAAAATGAATCGAAAAATTCCGGTAATTCGCTTTTTAAGCATCACTTGATGATTTGTTCACAAGAGTAGAGAGCTATCCTGATTTACCATAAATTTTATTCGCATATGAATGTGATATTCTACTGCCTTTTACTTAGTCAAAAAGTACTCATTGAATTCCTCTGAATACTTATTGCATGACCTCAATTTGCGAGAAGCCGAATTTGTAAATTTTATGTGGTGCATCACGACTAATATGGTCACTATCGATCAAGAAAGATGTTGCATCAATTGAAATGTGACGGATTGATCGGTTCTCTAGTTCAATCTGGTCAGTATG